ATCTAAAGAAACAAATCTGAAACAAAATAACTGACTTCTATCATTCTGGAAAGGGTCGCATTGAAGGTGTTCATGAATCAACAATAAGAAAGAGACTTGACAAAAATGGCATCCATAGAGCCACAGAGAGCTCCAAGGGAAAACCACTGCTCACCAAAAAGAACAACAAGGCTCATCTTATGTCTGTGAAGGTTCTCAGTCATCCAGGTCATCGTAGTCAAAGGAGCTTGCAAAGAAAAACGTCTGGACTTCTTTTGGCACAGAAAAGAAGATCAGACACCAGCGAGGGAGGATAAGAAGGACAGACGCAACAACATTGTCTTGTATCAGAGAAACTCAGGAGAGTTTTCTCCAAGCATGACATCCCAGTGTATTTCAGACCCAGCAACACGCTCAGACAGAAACTGGTTCACCCGAAAGACAAAACGGCAAAACACAGACTTAACAATGTGGTGTTTGCTGTACAGTGCAGCGAGGAATGCTCAGACCTCTACATTGGAGAGACCAAACAGCCACTTCACAAGCGCATGGCACAACACAGAAGAGCCACCTCCACAGGACAAGACTCAGCAGTCCATCTGCATCTAAAGGTCAAAGGTCACTCTTTCAAGGATGCCAATGTTCACATTTTGGACAGAGAGGACAGATGGTTTGAAAGAGGAGTGAAAGAAGCATCTATATCCACTGTGAGCGACCATCTTTGAACAGAGGCGGGGTTTACGACACCAACTCTCTGCCATCTATAATCCAGTTTTGAGATCCCTTCCCAGACGCCTTAACGCCCACTCACATCCTGGGCCATCTGACCTCAGGAATTCGCATGATAAGGTGGGGCCAGGTTTCACAATGAACACACCCGAAACTCTGGCTGATTGGGACCCACACCCAGTTTCCCACCTTGGCTCAGGCGATTAGAGGATCATCAGGGGGTCCTTTTGTCCCTCTGTGGGGGGAAACTCCCACTAGGTTTATATCTGGGACTCTCCACCATTTGACCCTAGAACTGAAGAAGCTTCTCGGATGAGAGGTGAAACGTCTTGAAGCAACTTAAAGAAGTCCAGACGCTTTTCTCTGCAAGCTCCTTTGACAAGGCTCATCTTACATTTGCCAAAAATATCTTGCTGATCTCCAAGATTTGGGGAAAATATCATGTAGACTGATGAGGCAAAAGTTATAAAAAGAACCGTCAGCAGTTCATCCATGCACGGTGCTGACACTGTCATAGTCTGGAGCTGCTTCACTGTTTCAGGATGACTTGCCATCATTTATGGAACCATGAAATTTGCTCTCAATCCGAAAATCCTGAAGGAAAATGTCCAGCTATCAGTTCACGTCCTTAAACTCAGGGCGCACTCGAGTTATTCAGCAGGGCAGTGATTCAAAACACACCAGCAAGTGCACTCCTGAATCACTCAAAAAGGACGAAGAAGAAGGGTTTAGAGTAGCCTAGTCCTAAAAGGCCAGACTAAATTGCCATTGACATCATTCAAACTGTTTGTTCGTGCTCCAGTGTGACCAAATTAAAATAATTTATGTTTAAAAAATAGATCATCATTTCAAAACTGCATTTTCATTTATGTGGGTTAGCTTTCTGTAATATTAATTTTTTTTTCATTTCAATATTTAAGTGTGAAAAGTATACAAAAAACTGAAAGTTTGCAAGGGGACAAATCCTTTTGTCACTGTAATGTATAACATGGTAAATTGTAAATGGCTTGTATTTGTATAGCGCTGTACTTAATCCCTAAGGACCCCAAAGCGCTTTACATACTCTTATATTATAACATTATAACACAAATAACACAGAATAATCGGAAGCAGTCCAAACAAATCTCAGACTTCTGAAAGCTGCAAATAAATGCATCAGTTTAAGAAAAGACTGCAGAACACATTCTGTATAAAGCAGTGTTCATGTCTGTCTGCCCTCAGACAGAGCACACAGTGTTATTCTGTCTGTACTGTCCAGGATTCTACATTTTACCACGATGTTGACAATATTTCCCCAGCTGGAAATATGCACCGTTTTTGTTCCCCTCATTGTTTTTCCATTAGGTTACCTGGCAATTCCCTACTGACTCTCACATCCTCTACACACTATCATGTGTCCCTGACATGTGTTACTAATAAAAGCAGGTCCGTTGTCAACAGAAGATGCAAAGCATACTTTTTCACACTAAGACTAGAAATTGGAACAAGTTTCTCCATGTGTTTACAGCTGACGCAGTTCAGAGTAGACTACTTCTCTCCAACATTATTTTAATATAAATGAATCCATCGGACAGAAAGATGATTTTGGCCCCTCACAGCATTTTAAAATGTTACTAGCTATTCTGGATTATGTCTTGAGTACTGGACCAAATAGTGGCATAACAGGACAAAACAGGAACTCTTTGAATTCACAAGTAATATCTGCTAATACACACACACTGCATCTCCTTCTTTGTGTAGTTTGTCATCTGCAAAAGGACATGTCTCTTCTTTCATAGTGAAAGAGCAAATGTTTTTCAGGCCACACGGGTTTCATTAAGTCACCATTGAAGCTCCTGCTCACTAAACATAGCATGTATATAAAAAAATCTAGCTTTCAGGTCTGAAACGCGACGCCAAACATGATGGCTTCTTTGGTTACAGTGTTGCCTGAGACCTTAGTGCACTTTTCTGATAAATTTAAGGTTGTTTTATGTCACGTAAAACACCATGAAATTAATTTAGTAAATTTTGGTCCTTTTAGAATCAGAAAGAGGGCTAAGATGACACACTGTCGGGTGGCCCTGTGTTGTGGCTGAAAATTTAGCACCATATGTGTCTGCAGTATTTCTTGGTTTCATTCTCTGCATATCAGTGTGGTGGCAGTAAAAATGTCCAGCTCCATGCTCAATGCAACTTTCCAGCATTCATCCATTACACAGGTCAGCAGGCAATAATCATCACAGGTACTTCTCTGTTAGTTATTTTCACAATGATTTCAAACCTGTACTTAGTTTTTCTCCAGGACATCTAGTTCTTCTGATGAACTTTTTTATACATTTTGTGTTTGTTGACCACTATTTTTGGACCAGAAGTCAAAGCGTACAGCACAAAAGGAAATGAAGACTTATTGGTAAAAGCGGTCTGCTGTTTGCGTGGGTATGTAAGGACGATGGTTTTCGACTATGCATGTAAGCAACCAAGCTTTAAGCTTGAAAAGCATTCAAGTGGCTCTGTGAAAACTTAATCAGCTGCATACTGGGAAGTAAACAGAAAATGTGCTGCTGCATGTCACTGAAAACCCATTTCCTACATTCACATTTGAAAAGTCTGTGAATGGTGAGTAACAAAGGAGAGCGTTTCCAACATGATATTCAGCTAACAGAGGGTTGCTACCGGGGTTTCTGGAATGAAACTATGCTGAATGCTTTACTGTGACAATCCAGATCTAATATGGTACAAAATAAAATCATGCTCCATGCCTTTCTTGACATGACTGGAAAATAATAAAGGCACATGTAGAATCTGCACCAAAAAAAATGTAGGAAAGTGTGTTTAGGTCACTTGCAAAAACTTTTTATGTTGCTTTGTGTTATGTGCTGTGCTTTGAAAAGCACCAACAAGGCACTGCATTCTGTTGCTTTTCAGAGCTTACAAGACATATGCCTGTATTTTATTTAGCAGACTTCAGTCACTTGGCTACAGCGTCAAATGTACATGGAAGAAGCAAGTAGTTCCTCTAACGAACACTTGAAGCTAATTCCAAAAGAATGTTAATGTCAATAGAATCTTACATAGTAACTTTACTGCATTAAATGGTGTGTGTCCAGCTTGGTGCAGAAAATAGATTCAAACCCTAGAGATAGTTTTCCCCTTCCTTGCTACTATATGGTGGATGAAAGTATATTTTAACATTCATCCACACATCCACGTCCACATCTGGCTGCTTGACTGACAGCATCCCAACAGGCAGCCGTAGCAAATCAATGTGTACTAGGCCTCACTTTCTCTACCAGAAGAGAAAAAAAAAGAGTCAAAATTTTGATATTAAAGTTGAAAATCTATTTTGAGAAAAAAAAAAGTGTGTAAAAAATGAAAAATGTGTAAAAATGTGGAGATTACAGTTGTTGTTTCAAGACAAACTGCTACAGTTGCTACACTTTCTGAGCTGTTGAAATCCTTCTTCAGAATCAGTTTTAGCAACAAGAAAGTATTTAAACATATTGTGGTGATGAGTATAGGAGTATATAAATGGTTACATCCTCGTGCAGTAAAGTGGATTTATGATGTATCACAAGACAGATCCGAGACGACAATCTACACAATCAAAACAAGGCTTTTGTAGAGAACAGCGGAGGCAGTTTGTCTTGGTTAAATTCTCAAAATCCTTTTTTTAAGAGTCACAAAACAGACAGAAACACAAGACAATAAATATACTTTGTATATGAAGCACCCCTCATAAAATCAGCAATAAGAAATTCATCCTCTGTGTGTGGAAACGGAGGTCTCGGGCTCATGTGGTCTGATGAAACTGCAGATTGCAAAAAAGTAAAAGAGTTCACAATTCACATTAGTTTCTGTTACAACTGCTTTTTCATTGCATGTGAAAAGCTGCATACTGCAGAGGCATAAGCGTTACTGTGCACTCCTGACACTTTTTCTTTGGTCGAGTTTCTAAATGTGTTTTAATGAAGAACTCTATTAGAACGTAAACAGAAGGAAGATTTGATTAACTATTTATCAGTTATATGGCAGCAGTCTTATCGTTGTATAGATCCATTCACTGAAAAATCTAAAGAGAGCTGAAACAGAAAAAAAGGCTGCTTTGACTGACGGGCATCCCAACAGGCAGCTGGCAGTTTCACGTCATCTACACAAGGCACATTTAAGGAAATTGTTACTTTGAGTCCTGACATAGCTGGCAGGAAAAAAAAGCTGCTGTCAGTAGTTGTCACTGTAGAGCTCCGCCCCTAACAACTCTACATGCTGACACGCCTCAAGAGAGGCAGTCATTGTGTTACTGGATACAAATTACTGAGGATAACTTCAGCTCTGGTAAGATCTTTAAAACAATTGCAATTACAAGAAAGTACAAGACTTACATATTTTACTTTGCTTTTGCTTTAAAGCATGTGGTTCATTCATATATATGCGTCACATATGTATGATTGTAGCCAATGAAATCTTTCACATTTTCATGTAAGCTTAGAAATAACAAGAAACTGTGAGAAATTACACAAGTACAGTTCTAACTGTAAAAGTAAAAGAACATTAATATTTCAGACTGTGGACTAATGAGCAAGAAGATGTACTTTAGTGCTCCTCCGAACCAAAGGTCAAATTTCCTTGAGTTAAGGAGATGAAACTGATTTTATCAACTCATTGTTCCAAAAAACACTCTTAAATGTAAACAGTTATCGTGGACAGTATGGCATCTAAAAGTGTCAGAAGAGCTGTTAGTTTGATCTTAGACACAAGGTTGGTAAGAGTTAAGCACGTGAAGCTGTAAAACTCTTTGTGGAAACTGAATCAGTTGCATCAAATGCAGGAACAGGCAGACCAAAGGTGAGCTCACTATTGGAAGATCAGTTCAGTGAGAGATAGAAAAGATACAGATACAGGATTTGATTCCACAAAAAAGCACAGGTCCTATCAACAGGTGGTGTTCTTAGAGGAAAGTCTTCAAAACACTGTTCAGAAAGATAAAGCAGGACAAATGGCTCATGCAGACAAAGACATCCAAACATTTTACAAGAAGAAGCAGCAGCTCAAGATTCAAAACTGCATATAGGTTAATAGAATTCTTCCAAAAATTCTTGGATCCAGATCTCTAAAATCTCTGAAATCACAGGCATCATGAATTCTACTAACAGACATGATTTTTACATTACCTCTACCAGGGAGGTTAAAGTCTGAAGACAGAAGAAGACAAACATAACTGCATGTCACCTGACCTTAGCTCCACTGAACACTGACGCTGTTAGGAAAGCTGCCACATCACGCTGGGATGATGTCTGAGTCACCAGAATCTGGAATCCATGCAGCTCTTCACTCATTACTACAGCACATAGGATAGTGCAATTCAAAATGTTCAGACAGGATCATAGAAAGCCTGACAGTAAGAAAGTACCAAGCAGTTAATAAGCCTATTTAAGCCTGATGCATACAGGAGACATTTATTTATTTGTGAATAACAAATAAGAAAAAACGCAGACTGTTGTACTCAGACAGGCAGTTTCAAAGCTGAGCCTGAAGTCATATCAGCATGGGCAACAAGGGAAACTGCTTCAATCTCAAACTGTGCTGAGATTGAAGCAGATTGAAGAGAATGTGGCCAGATTTCTTAAAAGTTGTTCATTATTCATTCAGCATTATGAATAAATAATGAAAAAGAGTGCAAGGGCAATAATATAGAAAAGATTCAGTAAGAATAAACAGATCAAAGGAAAAAAGAATGAATAAAGTGAGATTAACATGAGGCACTGAAACTGAATCTGTTGAGTACTTTACTCTTACTTTACTGAAGTGGATTGTTTGAATGGTTTCAAGGTGAACCATGCTGCTGTGCAGTTTTACCACAGTAAAATGTCAGGAAGCCTTGTTTTGGGGAAGCAAGATGATGGACACGGATGTGTAGGTGTGTTTATAAAGGAAAAACAAACACACAATTCTCAGTTGCAGAACAGCATCAACAAAATGAAAGGATTTCTCTCCACGAGCTTTCTCTTTTTGGGAGGAATTGGCTAAACATACTGCCAATTCAGAGTTCAAACAAAGGCTTTGGGAGCCTGAAGTGACTGTCACTCACAGTCCTCAATAAACAGGAGCAGATGGCATTAAATGGTTAAAATAATAATCCAGAAGCAGGACAATAATACTAATATATTTGCATGCTGATTGGTCAGTTAAGGATTCCTAACAGCACACAACACTTCAATGGCATTTGATTACCCAGTTTATCTCAACTCTATTAAACAGATGGTAAAAATTGCCAGTAAAATGTTACCCCGTGTAATTTAAGGCCTCATTTATTTTCAGCAATCTCTTGATCAATCCCAAGGAGGGTTAGGGTTGCTTGCGTGAAAGGGTGAATGAGGCAAGTTGTGTAAAGTGCTCTGAGTGCTGGGTTAGAGTAGAAAAGAGGCACCGGTTCATTTACATTCAAATCAAATCAGCCAAATCCTCAACAAAATCTCAACTAATAAGCTTTTAAAAAAACAAGCAAACAAAAATCACCTAGAGAAGTGTGGTGGTTATGTAAGCCCCAATAAACCCCAAGCAAACACACAAGGTTACAAAAACTGAGATGTGCACAACTGGCCAAAACCATACCAAAATGTGACTTGCACCAGTATGTGTGTCATTTTGGGGCAAGAACAGTGAGTACAAAGGGCCCATTTATATTCACTGCTGCAACCTTGTGTCACAGTCACTTGTATTTAAAACCGCCATTGAGGTACAGGAGCCGCTGCAGTATTATCCTGAACAACAGGTGTCGACACTCAGACAATATTGTCACACAAACGCTGATGTAAAAGAGGAAGAAGTCAAAACCAGAAGCCAAGAATTTGTCATGTGTTTGTTTTTCACAAGGTCCAGAATTTTCAAACTGTTCCAACGTCTCCCTCTGTATGTCTGTATGTCTCTGCGCGGGAACATTAAACCGACACAACCATACACTTGCGTCTTGCCTTGGTCGCCACAGCTGAACAGCTTACAAAAAGATACACATGGTGTGACACCCACGACACAGGCAACGCAGTGAGCATAACTACCCATTACTCTCTTTGGAGCCAGCCTCAAGCGGTCAAACTACAGCTTTTGCCACATGACTGTGTTGTGATGATTGCTTTGTTTTCTCACAGGTGTAAGGAACTCAAAGATGCCTGGTGAAGTTCTCTCTCAGCTTGGGAATAACAGCAATGCTTCTGACCTTTGCCTGGCGGAGAGTCAGCATGTGTCCATCACCATCCTGCTCTGCCTGGTCTTCTTCATTGGCTTCCTCCTGAACACCTTCAGCCTGTGGGTGTTCTGCTGCCGGTTGCCCTGCTGGACGTCTGGAACCACGCTGCAGTTCCACCTGGCCCTCAGCGATGCCATCGCCACACCAGTCACTCCCATGATGGCAGTTTACTTTGCTATGGGTAACAACTGGCCATTCGGTCAGTTCCTGTGTCAACTCAAGATTGCCCTGCTGAGTTCACATTTCTATGGCAGTACCATTTTCCTCACTCTCATCAGCATTCATCGGTATGTGGCTGTTGTTCACTTCAACAGGAGCTCTTGTATAAAACGGAAGGAGTTTGTCAGGAAGCTCTGCGCTGGAGTTTGGTCTCTGCTACTGATCCAGGCTCTGATCTTTGCTTTTACTCTTCCTACCACCACAGAAGGGAAAAACAAACAATGTCTCTCCATTCATCAGACCAAACTGACAGAATCCTACTTTGTCATTAACTTTATCCTGTTTATCTTCGGGTTTTTACTCCCTTTCTTTGTGTCTGCTGCATGCTATAGCCGTCTAGCAAACACCTTAACTCGCTTAAACATTAGCACAGCTAAAGGTCTGAAAGTGAAGGTGAAATCTCAGAGGATGATAGGTGTGTGTCTGGTTATATTCGCTTTGTGCTTCCTGCCTCTGAATGTGGTACGGACTGTAGGAGTCATATTAAAAAAATACTACCCGCAACAATGCCATCTTCTCCTTCAGTTTGAGACAGCATATTACGCAACCTGGATTTTTGCGGGAGTAAACAGCTGCCTGGATCCACTGTTGTACTACTTCGGTTCGCAAAACTTTCGAGATACCTTCCAGTCTTTCAGGAAGGGGCAGGTAGACATTCAGAACAGAAGTGATTCAGAAATGACTGGAAATTTCTAACATGTGGATATGACATGGATATGACTGGTATCTGAGTCCCAAGATCCAGTGTTGGCGGAAGACTATGTTTGAAATTCCCATTTAGAAACAACACAGATGTTATATAGTTAGCTGGTTTACGGTGAAGATCTCTCTACGTACCCAAAATATTAACAGATATCACACAGTACCCATCTTTTATCTATTATTTCACAACTATCTTATACACAAAACTATTTTCTGTATTTTTTCCTTTTCTATATATATTACTAAATGGTGGTGGTAGTAATCACCATATTTATGAACTGCACTGGGGACCAGCGAGTGGGTGGGATTGTTAATAAACTTACAAACCATACAGCAGACATTCATGATTGCATCCCACCAAACCATGACAGTCTGTATTATAAGGGATTCTGGAATGATCTCATGTATTCTAACATTTTCAGTATCACCTGTGCGTTTCCTGTTGTCACATGCCAAACTGCCAGCAAGAAAACCATGTCATGTGTTGCCACACCACACTCCAAGTTTCACATCCAGACTCCAGCCTGTGGTTAGACAATAAAAGCACCTAGGTTAAGGTAAAGGAAAGACCATGGTGTGAAACTAAATGTTGGCTCTGAAGTCACTGTGTTCTCTGTGTATTAAAGTAACTGTCTTATAATAAAAAACAACTCCATATCTTGGTTGTGCAAGTTTTATATTATAGAAGACACAGAAATAATGTCTTTAAAATGGGTTTTCTTTATTTTAACCCTCAAAAAAGTTCAAAGAGACAGAATTCAAAAATATAATTAGTGGGCCCATAAAAGAGGTCAACTAAATATAACTCTAATCAAAACACAACTTCCAGAAACTGAAACAAAGTTGACACAATTTAACTCACAAACTGGCCTAATCGCAAAGACACAGGAGGGTAGATTTTATAGTGGTCGGCATTCAAAGCCCCCAGCCCTCGGCCACGCCTTTTGCCCAGACAGGAAACAGCCACCGCCCCAAACCAGGTAACTCAAAGAAAGAAAAACATAATTAATATAACAAAAAACATCTTTAGAAAAACCACACAATGCCATTATGTGCACGCTTCATTAAATTAGTGTCAGGTTTAAGTAAAAACATTAATGAATTATATTAGTGAAGCAACTGCAAATCAAACTAATAAAGTGAATGAATGGACTTGTTTTATCTATGTGTGGCTGACGCCATCACACAATCACTCACACTGTAACCCATACAGCAATGCTTTTATTGTGCTAAGAATTTGATATAATAATTCCCAGTGCACCACTAATTTCCCATGCCCATTGATTCTTTGACTAAAATGCTCCAAAAACTAACAGACTTTGCCTTTGCAGATCTTAAGATCTTTGCAAATTTAAATTAGTCCTTCCCCAATTTAGAAAAAGGTCAGTTTCCTCTCCTTCCATAGCACAGATGTGATACACAGAAGCAGTTTCAATATTAGTAACACAGTAACTGTGGGTTTGTGAAATATTGCCTTAGCTCAAGTCCCAAGAGTCCAAGACTCTGTAACACTGTTCAAGTGACATTAACAGGCACTGCTGCACAGACCACTGTTGTGTCAGGTGGCCTCAACAAAAAAGATATTGAGTGTGCCAGCAGAAGTCAAATAACCACAAACTAAATGCTGGTGTGTTTCGAACTGACAAAAATATGGAGAATTGGAAAATGCAATGGCCATTTAATGACCCAGCACTCCAAACCACAAACTCCATATTATATTCTAACTTGGGGTGCATTCATCGGAGTGTGAATGTTGATTAGTTTGCACTTGTGTTTAGAAGTGCTTGTGAGACTGGGGGTGAATGAGGCATGTTGTATAGAGCGCTTTGTGAGTAGAAAAGAATCTATACCATATAAGAATCATTCCATTTACCATAACTTACTTCGATTATACTCTTAATACATTCTTGTAGTGACGCAATAATCAGTGCCCAACACATGCACTGTCCTGAATAATAATGTTCAACTTCAAGAAAACTATTTTTTATTGTGACAAACACAGAAAGCATTACAGAGGAACAGACTTACATACTTCGCACATAATAATTTGCCAAAAATAAAAACATCTGTAAGGCAGAATGAGCCTATTGTTATGTGAAAGTTAGTGACTCATTTAGCTTCTTAGTGGTCGAAAGTGAGAGGCTGGCAGAACCGCTTCCTTTTCAGTGTTACTTTACACAGCTAATCGACACTTGCACTTTAATAACAAATTACATGGATGCATCAATAGTAATAAGTCATTTAAAGGCGGCAACTAGCATTTACAGACAGGTATTCCTAGAATAATCATTGCGTTCCATTAAGAAATACTTCTATCACCTAAAGCCTGTTTACGAGCTGAGCTCAGGAACCTGTAACTTAGAGGAGCCACAAATATAATGGGTCATTAGTGCAAACTACTTTTTGCAATCTGATTGGATCCTGTGGTGTCTAGGTTACTTAATCTGATTGGATCCTTTTATAAATTATTTGTCAAGCACATCAAAGTAACAGAGACCAATATTATTTCTGCATAGCTGATCTAGTTGCAAGTCCATTCAGACATGGGCTGTGTGACATTGCTGGCTTTAGGAAGGCTATCCTAGCTGCTATATGGTCAAAGGCAGGTTCCAAATTAAGTTAGACGTTCAAATTTCCAGTGAGAATGACCCCAAACTCCAAGTTAATGATCAAAGATGGCAGAAGTGCAGATGTGTCCTTGGGGATCAGGACAAGTCTTCATGCTGGAGACTGTTTCCTGGATATCTGTGATGGTTACTGGATCCTGTTCAGGGAGGTTCCTGCGGTCTGCTCTTAGCTCCACTAGCCTCTAAGCACTGTGGTTATGTCTTGAATCTTTCTCCCATATTCAGCACACACACAAATATATACTGTTACTGTTCTTATTGTGTTGAAGTGTATACACACTTGTGCTGCAGGGACATTTATTTTTAAAGAACAGAATTCCCACCATGTGCCACATGTCCAATACACTTATAGTGAAGTTAAAGCACGTGAACAAAGGGGCAAAACATACCTGTTAGCAGAAGTATGAAGGTGCGCAGGAAAATCTGATGTACATGGTAAACTGCACCGACGATAATTAGGGAGGAACAAACACATCAGCCTTCTGCCATTTTGGATGAACGCTCACGCCCCCGAGAGAACGCCAACTTTATTAACAGCCACACACATGTAAATCACACCTCAAACATAAATAAACCCTCTGGCTGTTTCCATAATTGAGAGCATTTTCTTTCTTCATGTCAACACCCCCACTTGCTCTCATATTATGACTCTCTTAAGTAACAAAAACACATATAGGGTTTCTCAGCCGGTGCTGTATATATGTCTGTATACCTGGTTAATGTCCAAACATAAACTTTTCAAACTTGAACAACTTAACTTTTGTTGCAGGTTTTGTCATTACATCTGCTACCATCTCTTCTGTTGAACAATAATCCAGAGTTACTTTTCCTTCACTCGCAGTTGACCTTACAAAGTGGTACTTTATGTTACATATGTTTACATCTCTGTCTCGTTACAGGATTCTTAGCCAATCTTCATAAACCTTTGGCGGTGCATATTCTTGTCCATCGATACCTCGTAACAGTTACATTAGGTACAAACACTCCTGTAGGTAGGGTTGCAGCTACAGCCATGTACTCAGCTTCACAGGTAGATGATGCAACAGTAGGTTGACTTTTGGTTTTCCATGAAATCAAAGGACCATTTAGAGCCAGACTTATACAATAACCAGTCGTACTACATCTGTCTGTTACATCAGCTGCCCAATCATCACTGTATGCCCACAACCTCAGTTCTTCATTGTCACGTTTTCTGTAACACAGTTCTTTCTCGGATGTTCCCTTCAGATATCTCAGTACATGTGTTACTGTGGTGCATTGGTCTTCAGTTGGCTCAGTGAAATACTGTGACAGTTTACTGACTATAAAACTCAAGTCTGGTCTTGTGCATGTAGCCAAATAGATCAGACTACCACCTGCCTCTCTGTACCTCTAGATTAGATTAGATTAGATGAAACTTTATTAATCCCCTGGGTGGGTTCCTCCAGGAAATTCCTCACTCATCTTTTCTGCACCATCAGTGTAGTTCAGTGTTTTCTCACAAGGTGTCAGTCTTTCTGCATGTTGAACCTTTCAAGTATTTTTTTCCACATACTGTTTCTGTGACATTTTTACACAGTTATCGCTCTGGTCAAAATCTATTCCAATGAAATGTCTCAGTTTACCCAAATCCTTCGTTTTGAATTTTGCTGCACAACAGTTAGTTCACTTTCATCACTAGTAGTGATGATCAGGTCATCTACCCATATTATCAAAATCCCACAATGGTCAGTGGGATTTTGCACAAAGTTGTTCTCACTCAGATATTCATGCAACACCTTGTTTTAGCCCATAGCTCTGTAACCATATGGCGACTTTTTCAACTTATACACCCATTTTTCATTTGTGTCAGGTTTCACCTCATAGCCCTCAGGTTGTTCCATGAATACCTCCATGTTCCATGCGTGTAGATAGGCAGCTTTAACATCCACCTGATGTAAAAGCATGTTTTCTTGTGCATCAACACTCTGATAGTAGTCAGGTTAGCAGAAGGGGAAAATCTTTCTTCATAATCCACACTTATCTTCTGACTGTATCCTTTAGCAACATAACGTGCCTTGTACTTCTCAGAACCATCAACATTGTTTTTGACTGTGTACACCCATCTATCATCATGTCAGTTTGTATTTGTCTCTACTCTTGTTTTGGTCTCAAACTTCACCAGTCTATGCTTCTGTACTTTTCTAGGTAGTAGCCCATATAAGCTGGACTGTTCCTGTCATTTGTGGCACTGCCCCCTGCTGTCTATTAAACAAAACTCTGCCTCCCCTCTTTGCTCTGCAACTCTGGTGCACTTAGTGCCGTCAGCCAACTCCACGTAGTGTGTCTTGGTCTGGAAACTGTCGTCAAATTTTCCGAACTTCGTTATATCTGTAATAATATGCGAAG